AGCAAGCGGCATGGGGCAAGCTACATGAATGAAATAATCCAGCAAGTGAAGGGCTAATTGACTAAAGCCTTAAAATAAAATATAACAGCCTGAGGTGAAGACAGAATGGACCTATGTGGCAAAGTATGATGATATGCAATAGGAACAGGTGAAATTTCATAATCATAGATGATGCATAGTTAGATTAAAATAAAATGTAAAAACAAAAACACCATGCTACATTTAACACTGTGATGCTAAGAAAATTGGATACAACAGAGTCATTTTTTGGTACAGTTACATTTTTCAATAAGAAGGTAATATTTGATCTGCATTACAAATCATCTCAATCCCAGGGTCAATTACTGCTACATAACAACATTTTTTTTTTTTTTTTGCACGAATAGGACTGTATAGTTATTTACAGCAGGTTTATTTCAGTAGGAAGGTCTTGGTAGTGACCAGGAGGCAGCCCCAAATTAAGTATGAAACTAGTGGCACGTAATCGTTGAGATCCTTTGGTTTCACAAGGGTTCTTCACAAGATAGTAACTCCACATATGCTCTACGTAGTATGCTGTAAAAGGTTAACTGATGAAGGAAACACGGCGGCGGATCCCAATGCATATGTCCAAGATTTTCCCAAAGTCTGGTAATCCACTTGTACCTCCACCAGAGAGAATCATTCCCTTTGAATACTTTGTTCCATTTAGAAAGATCTGAGGGGTCAGTCCTACTGTGTCAACATTGCTCAATCTATTCAATATGGCTTGTCTGACAGCATTGACACTTTGGCAATCTCAACCTCAGACTTGAAAATGCTTAGACTCGCACGATAATGTGCTAACATAAGCTGATGTCTAGAGGCAATAGTAAGCAGAATGACTATAAAATGACTGCCTTTTAAATTCTGTGCCGAAAGACCCCTCTTTTGAAAGTAACCGGAATGGATTTGCACCCTGTATTGCTTCAGTTAAATGCTTTAGTTAAAAGTTTATTCCTCAGATGTACAATTATGCTCCTTCAAAATATTTTCAACTGTCTGCCCAGTTATTTGTCCAGCAAATTCACCTACAACATACAAGTCATCAACAATTTCTTGAAATGCTGATTTTGACACATGCAGGACTGCTTGAAAGCGAAGTAAAAGGGATGCAATACGTCTCTGAATGGAATTATGCGTAGGTTGAATTTCAGATTCAGGGAACAAATCAGATGACACTAAATCATCCAAGTCTTCCTCATCATCGTTTACATAGGTTTGACTGTGACATTTTTATTTTATTTTATTTTTTTTAATTAAATTTTCCACAAGGATATACAAAAATTAACATAAAAGATCAAAACCCCACCCATCCCTTACCCGTACAGAACGGCACATCATATAACACTTACACAGTCAAGACAACATGCTGAAAACATCACAAATTGATCCAAACCATTTCCCAAGCACGAGAAAAAAAAAAAGAAAAGAAAAAAAGAACAATTATACAGGGTATTAAACAGTAACGGGTTTGTCATATACACTTTTTCATTGAAGGAATTTTAGTACAGGATCCCATATTTTCTTAAACACATTGACCTTATCTTCGTTATAGTATCTCAGTCTTTCCAGGTGCAGAGTATTTGCTAGTTCTCCCAACCATAAATCAAATGTGGGCACATAGTCCTTTTTCCAAAATCTCAAAATCAGTCTTTTAGCAATCACCGTACCAAACAAGACAGCCCCTCTCTCACTTTTAGTGGCTGGTTGCAAAGCACTAGTGACCCCGATGATGGCAATAAGAGGTTCTGGATCCCATTTTTTTCCAAAAGCCGTTGAAAAAAAATTAAACATTTTCTCCCAGAATGAGTGAAGCTGAACACATGACCAGAAGGAGTGCGTCAAGTTACCAACAGCAACATGACAACGATTACAGATTGGAGACACACTAGGAAAGAAAGTGCTCAGCTTTTCCCTCGAATAATGGAGCCTATGAATAGTTTTGAACTGTATGAGATTGTGTCTGACATTGACTGAACATTCTTGAACACTTTTCAAACCCTCCTCCCATAGATCTTCAGATAACTGTTGCCCCAACTCAACCTCCCATGCCTTTTTAACCCTGGTTGCGTCTACACATATATTATTAAAGAACTTATAAAAGTAAGACACTGCCCCCCGACTGACAGGATCAAATTTATTTATTTCCTCTAGGGTTTTATGTTTTGTTAAAGTTCCAAAATCAGATACATTTTCCTTAACAAAGTCCCGAACCTGCAGATAGCGAAAAAAACTTGACGGCGGAAGATTATACTTAGAACATAACTGTTCAAAAGATGCAAAAGTTCCATTAATATATAGATCACCTATCACACTGATGCCTTTCATTCTCCACAATCGAAAGATGGCGTCACTGAGACCTGGTGCAAAGGAGTGATTTTCACAGATAGGAGAGTCAATATAAACCTCCGGAGCTTTTATAAATTTTTGTATCTGATTCCAGATTCTGATAGTATGGCTGATGACAAAACTATTGGTATAGAGTGTTTTACTGATTTTAATGGGGCTGTTAAGGAGGGCAGGTAGAGACGAGTTACAACAATGCAGACGCTCTAAAGATAACCAGGCAGGACAGGTCACATCGGAGGGGAGTGGGCCCTTCCTCCACCACGCCAGGATGTATAAATGGCAAGCCCAGTAATATTGCTTGAAATCTGGTAAGGAGAACCCTCCCACTCTTCCTGGTTTACATAAGTGTTTTTTGGAAATTCTGACTCTTTTATAGCCCCAAATAAAGGGAATAATAATAGAATCTAATTGTCTGAAGTAGGATACACCTATAAAACATGGGACAGACTGAAATAAATGAAGGAATCGCGGTAACACCACCATTTTAATGGCGTTGATCCTACCGGCCATGGATATTGGGAGCGTGTTCCAGAAATCAATATTTTGCTTGAGTTGAAGAATTTTACTTTGCCAGTTCAGCCGTAAAAGATGTTCTGGTTTTTTTGTTACCAACACGCCCAAATATGTAAAGGAGTCATAAGCTATCTTAAACGATGTGGACGTCAAATATACCAAATCAGCATCTGTGGTAAGCGGCATCAGTTCACTTTTGTCCCAATTAATAGAGAAACCTGAGAAACTGCCAAAACTGTTGATCATCGTCAAAAGAGGAGACAGCGATTTCCGTGGGTTAGAGATATACAAAAGTATATCATCAGCATACAGCGAAATATGATGTTTACAATTAAACATCTCAATAGGGGATATTAAGGGGTTTTGCCTAATGCTGGCGGCCAGAGGTTCAATAATAATTGCGAAGAGAAATGGGGAGAGGGGGCAGCCCTGACGTGTACCGCGATGAATAGCAAATGGACAGGAGATATTCTGATTAGTAATGACGGAAACAGTTGGGTGTGAATAAATAATTTCAATCCATTCTGTAAACAAGGGTCCAAAACCAAATTTTTTGAGAGCATACATCATATAAGGCCATTCTACTTGTTCAAATGCACGTTGTGCATCTAGCGAAATCACAATGGACTCATTTGA